CGACGTGGAAGATAATGGGGGAAGTATAATGTAAATTCTCGGCGATGGATTCGCTCGATAGCATTCGCTGTGGCGCGAGTCGCGAGTCGTGCGAGTTTCCACGGAAAATTATTATATTTGTTAAGCGCGGTCGTATTTGTTCGCGATGGGCGTACGACAGGGGGAACGCAGTTGTGTGCACAAATAATTTGAGCCCGCGCACGCCTCTTCGTCTCATAAATTCGCCGGGCAAGGCCGCGCGTATCGAGGTCGCATAAATCAAACGCTGACGAATTAAGAATATCGGGCGTCCGTGTGCGACCTACGTGCACCGAACGTGGGCGAATGTTGCGTAATAAGGTGTTAACCCACGCGACCATTGTTTCAAAAGCGCGAGTGTATGTATTGAAGTTTAAGAATTACATATTACAGGTGCAAAATGGGGGTCAATTTAATGTTCATCTAACCCGTGCACGGAATAATAGTTTCTCTAAGTTTATTAACAGCTCTATTCTTATGCATTGTATCTAAACTATGTTTTTGTAGTAACTATGTGTCACCGTGAGATAACGTTACCCAAAGGAACGACCGTGACGTATTTTGATCTTGTCCACATTTACGCGCCTCAGTAAATGTGCGAAACTATTGTTTTACAATGCCGTTTGCAGTTTTTTATGACCCACTTGCGTCTCCTTCTCGTAAATTATTGCGAGCAATATTCTTTATAGACAACAACGGTTCGCGTGCGGAGTCATTGTTTTAAATGGAGGCTTGATCGAGCTGCAAAAGGAAGCGCACGGCACTCGCTATCACGGTGATAATTTAATTGTACATTCCATGCAAATTCAATTGAACGCTGCATGCTCGCAGGACGCGCGAGACTTCGATGACAAGGCTATCTCACGGTGGATCGCCGCTCTTTACGCACGGACGCTCGACGCCGATTTAGTCCAGCGATACCGATTCCAACCGGCCTCGTCTTTGATTCGCCTGAAACGGCAAACAGTTAGGCGACCAGCCAGCCGGCCGGCTACTGAGGCCGCGGCGTTTAATAACGCGCGAGTTACGGTAGATTTAGCGCGCGATAACATCCGGCAAAGTCGTTAATGTCGCGTACGCGTCCGCGGCATTTCCTGTGTCTCGAAACCCAGCGTATCTCAAAAAGAGCACAGGCGATTGTTATGCACTCGAGAAAGATTCGCTTCTTTAAATTCTGTATAAATTGAAGTAATCTGTTGAAAACGGACCCCGAAGGATGCCTTTCCTGTGCGAATTCTTGTGGAGTATAAAAAGAATTCCTTTTATCCGAAAAGAAGCTCAACATTGCTGACACAAAAGTAAATTCTTTTTGAATTCTTAAGAATATTTTGGGAACAGCAATGGAATTCGGCAATTCAGAGAAAAATCTTTTTGGATTCTTTGTGCTGTGTCTCCTCTCTGCTGAGAATTGTCCAACGACGAGATTTAAACCGATGACCAATTCTTTCCATGGAATCGAACATTTCAAGGGGGATACATTTCGCGATTAATTTTCCTTTGTCTGAAATTAAAACACGTGAACAATATTCAAATAATTTTGATACATGTAAATCAATTTAACTGATGAATCAGAGTAAAGCGAAGAGAAAAGAGGCTTGTAACTTTGGATGCAATCGTGGAACACGGCATTTCGAAGATTTTTATGAGTTTTTGAAATTTTACCATACATTTCACTAATAATTATACTTATTATACATTTTACTAGTAGAATGTATGATAACATTTCAAAAAACTCCATGAAGTTCTTCAAAATGCCACGTTGTCCCACAATTACATGATTTTCAGGGTAAATTTTAAGAGAAAATTGTCTCCATGTAGAATTCGAGGTCACTCGATAACTGGAATCGATTTGCCGACTATCCGTATAGTTTCTGAAAGTTTTTTTTACTTAATCGATGACGTCTCGCTTCATATCGAAAATGATACATGGTCCAAAACAAGCGCAAAGATTTATTCTAATTATTTGTACGTTTACTCCTTTACCCGATGAAGAATTATAAAAAAATTACGTCGTGTAAATTATAGTCCTTTCAAGATAAGGAATAAGAATAAAAGTAGAATTCCTCCCCCCCCCCCCCCCACACACACACACATACAGTGTCCTATAATTCAGAAAAAGTATCCCTGAGGCACTTTGTGTATGTACAGGCGATGGGTGTGCGTTTTGCAAACGGCGCGGCGCACCGATAAGTGAGCCACCGATATATACGCCAAGAGGAACTAGCGTTACAATTTCCTGTTGAACGAGAAACACCGATCGTAACTTCTGGTTGACCGAGTTAGCGCTTGTATATTCCATTTATTCTGTGAATGTTTTTCTACGACACTGCGACACGTAACGTTGCTCTCGCGTCTGAATGAAACGCGCCGTAGCTATTAAAAAACATTTAACAAACTTCCGAATTGGCCGAGACCTTGGCACACAATATGAAACGAAATGCATTCTATATAATAAACGTAATATACATTTTATTCCATTTATAAATTGATAAATTGATAAATTGGAAAAAGATTTACAAGACATCCCTAGTAGCACAGTGCACTGACCAAACATTGATTACACATTGGCCCGTTATTTGGTTGTATTGGACCAATGTTTAGCCAATGCACTGTGCTACGAGGGAATAGTTGACTTTATCTTTGCGCGAGACTGAAATGATGGAACGAAACAATCTCGTTCTATCTTCCCTAATGGAAAAAATTTCTATAAATAACTACAAAAAATTGACTTGAAATAGAAATTTGCAGAAATTTGTCTATCTTCGTTGTAACAGTTATTTTTTTGTAAAAATATCTACGAAATAGTACCACAAGTTACAATGTTCTCAAATCAAGAAATTATTGCAAGTAACATTTCATGGAAATGTACAATTTTGTAAAAATTAGTACAAAACTTTACTAGTTTAAAAAATTTTAGAAACAACAAAATCTTGAAGAATTAAAACATCTGCTTACTTGTGGAATATTATAAAAATTAACAAAAGTGTTCCATTTTTAGCATTTTCATGTTGATTTTTATAACACTTTTTAAATTTACGTAGAATTTCTTAGAGTCTAGCAGTATTTTTTTTGTAGAATTTGTAGAATTATTTCCGGCAGGGTTTGAAGGGCAGAAATGATTTTTAAATCACGTAGAAAAGCAGCACGGACGCTGAGGATTGACGGGTACATCCTCACTTATATTTCACGCATTACGTAAGGGAGAATCCGCGTAACCGAGGATTCTCGTCCGTCTGTTCGGTGATGCGCGATGTTACGAATGACGTCACGATTCCGGCATTGCACAAAATTCGTCGTAACACGAAACTGTAGCAGGAGGCGAACGGAATGCGTAGGGGGACGCGCCTTTCGAATTTTATTATATATTGCTCAACTTGCACGAACGACAGTTACGGATAACCCATCGTTACCTTCGAGTCGCGCTTATCGCATTAACGAGACGGCTTATTAAGTAGAGTGGAACGGAATTACGGTAACGTGAACGCCTAGTCCGCCGTTACGTCTAAAATAAAGGCTAACCGCGTAGGCCCCCGCGAGCCTGCCTCTTATCTCTTTCTCCTTCTCTTTCTTTTCATCGTTTATTGATATTTGATTACTACTATTTCTTAGCTTAAGTATCTCTATTACGTTTTATATTTAATTAAGAACGTGGCTGCGAGAAAGACATCAATTTTTCTCCGTTAATCGTTAACCATTTGATTTGCTTTGGAATGACAAATCGAGCTTTGTCGAAAACAGATCGTACTTTTAATTACGTCCTACCTGGTCTCGATAAAAGCTTCGTTAATTTATTCAGCGTTTGCGGAAGATCCATCGAGAATGCGCGTCGCGTTTCCTTAGAAGCCGGTTTGTGTAGAGATGATAAGACACGACTAGATCGTTGAACATCATCGGCCGTGCTGTATCGCTCGGCAACGCGAGTCGGCTTTCGCGTTTATTGAAACTTTACGTCGCGCGATAGTCTCCCAACGTTTGCGGTAAGCCGCAATAATAACATTTTTGTGGTGAAAGCAAATACCGTGCATCCATTTTATTCAAATAAAAATCAAAAGCAAATCTGCGTAATTTTTTTCAATTAAATTGTGTTACATGAATACGAATGATAGGCACAACAAACAAAACGTCGGTCCATTAATATTTCAGAAAGTTTTGTAAATCTGTAAATAGGCGTGTGTCTGTATTCTTAAGTCGCGTGTAAATCATCAAGACTTTTACGACTGATTTGCGCAACGATTAAGTTCTGCGAGATGATATGTGCAGGCTGGATTGCGAGGATTCTGAAAAGAATTCTGTTTATCTGACGTTCCGGGATAGCGCGTCTTTCTTTATCTTTCTTTATTGAGTATTGTGTAAATGAACATTGCTCAGTCGTTTCTTTAACGACGAATGATTGGGTGTTCCTTCAATTCAATATTCTTTAACATTAGAGAAATATATGCTGAATTAAAGCTTTTGGTGCAATTCGAAGAATTTTACGAGAGTTTTTGAAATTTTACCACACATTTTACTAGTAAAATCGTGGAACAAGATGGTATTTTGAAGAATTTTATAAGAGTTTTCTGAAAGTACTAGTAAAATGTGTGGTAATTTTCTCTTAAGATTTGCCCTGAAAATCATGTAATCGCGGGACAACGTGGCATTTTAAAGAACTTTATGAGAGGTTTTTGAAATTTTACCATACATTTCACTAGTAAAATGTATACTAAGTATATAATTACTAATAAAAAGTATGGTAAAATTTCAAGAAAATCCCATAAAATTCTTCGAAATGCCACGTTGTTCCGCAATTACATGATTTGATATTTCTTTTTCGTCAATATTTCTAATCGCGGCTAACGTACAAGTCATCGCCACATCAGATTTTCATATCACATTCTTCACATCCTGTTCTTAAGTAAAAATAAAAAAAAAAGAAGGGAGAGAGAGGAGGATGATCGGCCGTTAGAAAATCGTATCTTCCTCTGCGCCGAGAACAGTCTCAGTTCCGATAGTACGATCGAGATCGTTGCCGGTGCGTTCGCGATCATGCTAAAGTGGGTGCATTACTGCCCGTTGCCGAGGGATCGCGCGATCGCGCCCTCGGACGCGAAGATGATCGTTCCGAGCGAGGCCACGAGGGACGAGAAGGACGAGAGAAGGCCGTTCGACAGAAGGAAAGACTGCGTTGACACGGTGCGAAGTGCGCGAAACGCGAAAACCGCCACGCCGGACGCTATCATGAGGAGATGCTTCCGGTTTGGGGTAAGGAGCCAAGGAAGTCGAACTTGACAGTCGGCTGCACGCTCGGCGATCGCGCGAGGCTTCTTCCGACGTGCAATTCGCGCGATAATCGCGAAGCCGTGCTCTTTTCCCCCTTTCTTTGCACTTTGATACTTCTTTATCAGCGTTTCTTCCCGACTCATCGCGCTCATTCTTTTATATTGTCTTACAATCGGCTAGGATGAAGGAACGCACTACCTGTCGATAACTTTTGCATACACTAATTTTTGTAATATTCGAATAAAATTTAATAACTTTCAGTAACGATGCGCAATAATAGTTAGCTTTGCAGTAATACTTGTGGTGATTTTCATTAATTAGTACGATATGTTTACTCTGCTTCGGATTACTTTGATATTAATGCCTTAATTACGATCACGCAGAGGTAACTTAATAAATACATCTTAATAGGTTTCATCCGATAATATTGGATTCTTTTGCAGAATACGTAAAAGATCGAAACGTATTAATTAATTGGAAAATATCAATTCTCTCAACAGACATAGAGAAGAAAATCTCGCGAGAGGATTGGAATTCGCATTGCATTTTGAAAGGATCGATATTGATAAAAGAAACGTTTTATCGCCTTGTTTCGTATTATGACTATGATCCGGAAAGAGGATAGATAATCGCCGGCTAGAGTTAGTTGATCAACGTGGTTAGCGGAACTGGTCTTTATCGTTGCGGCAATCCTTGCGGATTATATGATTACGAGCCGTACATGATACGTCGGAGGCATCGCTAACTATGCGTTTCATGGTTCGCAGGGTTCGGATCCGAGGGTAGCGACCTGCAGAGGAAAGCTGCAGAACAAGCGAAGTAAGCTCAACCAGGAGATCAACAAGGAGCTGCGGCTACGAGCTGGCGCTGAGAATCTCTTTAAGTAAGCGTTCGCACGCCAATATCGTAACGTATATCAATGTATAGTATATATCTGTACATATATGCAAATGTAATTATTAGGCTGAGTGCATAGATGAACGTCTATAGATAAACGTAACTATGGTTACGTTTATAAATGAGCACGAAATTTACGTAGAACTTTGTATCATTTTCGGTACAATTGCTATAACATTATTCACGTAACATTTAAATCGATTACTTTTTCATGTTCTGCGATTTATACCTATAATTATTTACTCTACTATCAAACTGAAAGTGCTAAGGTAATCACGATTTATGACTGGAAACAAAAAATGTAATATACAAAAGTTGTACAACTAATACACTTTATAAGTAACATACTTGCACTTGTCTTAGTTGCTATTAATCACGTTACAGGGCGACGACCAACAGAAAATTGAAGGAGACCGTCGCCCTGGAGCTAAGCTTCGTCAATTCGAACTTGCAGCTGCTGAAGGAACAGCTCGCCGAGTTAAACAGCTCGGTGGAGCTGTATCAGAATGTCGATGGGTAAATTGGGCGAGGATTATGAGTTTTACTGATATATGTATATGACGGAACGTACGGTATTGCATTGAACGGTATTTTCTTTCAGCGATGAGCCCGTTATGCCGATGATACCATTGGGACTCAAGGAGACCAAAGACATCGACTTTCGGGATCCGTTCAAGGTAAGTTCCGAGCCAACGGGACGATCAGTTTACGAGATCACCGTCGTATTTACAGTCGTGAGGTTTTATTCGTCCCGTCCGTTTATTCGAGAGGCGGTACGTCCGAGTTGTCCTCGAAATTGTCGAGATCCTTCTTCTCTTTCTTCTGAACTCGTTTCGCGGGATCTCCAGTTATCTTGAGGAAATCGTGAATATCCGTGGACGGGCCGATCTCGAGGAGAACTCGTCGGGAGGTGACCGGTGGCCGAACTGTAATCACCTTTGTTTCGCTGGACTTCCTCTTTGTCGTCGACTCGTCCTTCCTCACGATTACCGTGCACGGAGTCAAACGGGCCATAGCGATCACTAAACTTCCGGTGGTCGTGTTCCGTCGAACGTTGCTTCTCTCAACCGATACCTCGCAGGGCAGGGTCAGCTGTAGGATCTTTCCTTTTATGGTGACTCGCACGTAAGCCGGGTTTACGTCGACGTCGATATAAGCAGTGTCCAAGTGTCTACGAATACGAAAGATAAATGTAATACGGCGGAACAGACTTTTTATAAATTTTAATAGATCTTTAAAATGTGCGACAAACAGAAATGATTGCTATCGTTAAACAGTGGCCATATGAAAAATTGATTGTTTATTCTTGAAAAGTGTTTCTCAGTTTCTTTTTTAAATCAGCTCTCATAGCATTTCTTATTACGTTTATAATTATTTATTGCTCGGACACAGTGTGTGTCTAGCACAGCATATTAACGAATGCTTTGATCAACGATTACCTGTAAACGGAGACTTCAAGAACAACAAAATCGGGATCGTCTTCATCGTTTAATCTGAATGGCACGTTTGCCTGATTTATATTATATGCTCTTCCGTCTGGAGCGAATAGCTTCAGCACACGTTTCGGATGCTTGCTCTTATCCGAGACACGACTCTTATTCTCCTGTTTCTTCATAAATCGCTCAGCAATGGCGACTCTATCTTCCGGCGTGTGATAACTAGGCTGTTTCCAAAAATGTTCATCTTCTGACTCATCCTGCTCTATTGTCGTATTCTCGCTTCGCTCGGTCTCTGTGTGTTTCACTTGCGCCTCTGTATTATTCTGAAGAGAATGTCACACGCTCTTATTTGCATTTTGCATGTGCATAATGTTTTTTGACGTAACTGTGTACGCGCTTAGCAAACGATTTGAAAAACGTTCACACATGTGTATGCACAATTTAATCAAGCAAAGCAATATTATTTACAACATTTTGAGGCCTTTTGGCATTGAAATCAAGTAGCTCTGAAAAGTACTTGATGTATAAATTAACATAATGTATTACTTTACAGTTTACACATTAATTTACCTTGTAGAGTAAAAGTCAAAAGCATACTTTAATAATATCTGAAGATAATTACTGTCTTATTAAATAACTTTGCAAGTGGAATAATAGCTTAGATTACCGATGTAATATTATTGCTTACGTACATCGACAAGAAACATTTACCGTCTGCTTCATTGTTTCTGTGGTTTCGTGCGCAGCGTTACGACGAGCGCGTTGAGCTATCCTGGTCTTCTCGTAATGCTTGTAGCTCTCGATAACATCGTCTCGCGCTTGCGAATAAATCTGCAATGCCTTGATGCGTTCCGATCTTTCAATTTCCTGCATGTCGAGCTCCCGCAATTGCGGTAAAGTCGCCACAACGTATTGCCTGTAGTACTCGTAATCCGTGCAAGGATTTCCCATTAGAATCAGATGCTCCAGATGCTCGTTGCATCTATACAAAGCATGCCATTCAGAGAGACGATCAAAAGGGATTTATAATTTTATTAAAATTATATAATGTGAAAGGGACGTCAAGTAATGCATAATTGATGGAAATTTAACTCTCACACTAATCTTAATAATTTAATCTTGGCCAATCGACTGCATAAATTGTTTGGCATATTTTGACGCGTTCCTTAACATGAGGTAATTTTATAAAAATGGAAAATTTCATATACAATTTATATATAACAATAATAATAAAATGTACGATGAAAAGTACCTGAGATTTTTTACACTTTGTAAATTTCCGATAAAATTGATGGTGAGGTCTAACTTCTTTAAGCTCTCTAAGCCCTCCAGGTTTTCGATAAGCTCGATGTTATTGAGGGCCAGATTTAGGTATTCCAGTCTCTTCAGCATATTCAGATTCTCTATCTTCGATATCAGGTTGTGCTGCAACAGGAGAATCTTGAGATTCCTGCACTGTCTGTCTATCAATTGGATTTTATCGATATTCTCCTGGTGCAAGGCTATCTCTTCCAACGTTGATATTTCGCCCTCATTGTGCTCCGAGCGTTTCCGTATTAATTCCAGGGTGATTTTTACCATTTTTGTCTTGCGTCAGCTTCTAACTGTAGCGGGAATCACGGCGGAAAATCGCAAGTGTTGTGACAAGAGATGCGCCAGCATGCATTAACCAAGAAGGCCTCGTAGTTGCTATGAAGATATCGATTTAACATTGTCGGTCACGTATTGCGATTCCGCGATTTCCACGTGCTACGTGCACGTGTTACGAATTATTGATCGTCTCGCGTGAACGACGTTTTATTTTCTTGTAGGACTTCATCTTGGAACACTATAGCGAGGATGGAGAAAATTACGAAGAAGCTATAGCTGACCTGATGGAGACCAGACAGGTAAGACAGGAAACCAGACAAGTAAACAACGCGTGTCTCTTTCCGTAATAATTTCCATCAAATTTGAAAAAGAAATATCGAATCTCTTATTTACAACCCAAAGAAACTTTCTATTGGAGAAATTCCAAAACTTATCCGATTTCTAGAATAAATTACATCGTGTCACAATTTTCATTAATTTGAATATTACTTAAAAACATAGAATTGAAATTAGTGGACGAAATGTTATAAACATTTTACTACCTTAAATCCGCAGGCTACGAGGACACCGACCAGAGATTCGGCGGGCATCGCGTTGCTTCTGCGTTATTTCAATCAGCTCTATTTCATAGAGAGGCGCTTCTTTCCGCCCGATAGAAGCCTTGGCATCTATTTCGAGTGGTTCGATTCGTTGACAGGAGTGCCGAGTTGCCAGCGAACGGTCGCCTTCGAGAAGGCGTCTATTCTTTTCAATGCTGGCGCACTTTATACGCAGTTGGCTGCCAAGCAGGATCGCCTGACCGCTCGAGGACTCGACCAAGCGGTCGATGCTTTTCTCAGAGCGGCTGGCACCTTTCGATATATCCATGAGAATTTCACAAACGCACCTAGTATGGATTTGGGCCCGGAGATGCTGGAGATGCTGGTGCAGTTGATGCTTGTAAGTTCTTGCTCTTCTCTCGTAATTTATCGTAATTATTTAAATCAAAACGCTATTCTGTCTTGCAAGTAATAACTTTTTAATGTGTCGTATTATTAATTTCGCATTTTTATATTTTAGGCTCAGGCAAGGGAGTGTCTGTTCGAGAAGCTGGAGCTTCAGTCGAGGGATGGCAGAAACACCGATGTTTGCTTAGATCTTGCTCAAGAGGCAGCTCAGGTAAGATAATCTTTCCCACGATTCTTCTGCCGTCCTGCGATTATTGGTGTTATAAGTACAAGTGAATCATGAAGGTAATTAATCCAGGTTGCGGCGATATACAATGACGTCCACGGATTGATATCGCGCGAGCCGGTTCGTGACTATGTCCCGGAGACGTGGATCTCGTTGATACTGGTAAAGCGCGAACACCATCTTGCCCTTGCTCACAAGCACCTCGCGGTTGGTCTGCTGGACAGACCTATCGCTGAGTTTCGTGTAGAAACAAGGCTCACACTGGAGCACATCCAAAAGAGCGACGGGAAAACTCAATTGGACACGACCGTTCCCAGCAATGACAATGAAAGAAAATTATTGGGTACGTTTACCCACAAGACTCATTGTTTCATACAACAGTTACACTTAATATGTTATTTTTACACATTTTCAACTATTCTTTTTATTTACCTTGACATATAATGTGCATATGAGAATTTCTCATCGCAGGTAAGGCGCATCTCAGAGAAGCTCTCGTCTTGCACGACGAGAGTCAACGACTTCAGAGAATGTGCCGCGAGTTGAAGGGTAAACCGGCGCTAGCAAAGGTCCTGAAGAGAGCGCAAGAAGTCACGCTCGATAGTTACAATAGATTCGGTAGCGAGGATGATTTTCGAGAACTGTTAGATCCACCGGATATTATCGGTGCGACATTTCGTAAAAAAATATTCGTTAACGCATGATTAATTTTTGTCTCCTACATTTCAGTACATAAATCATAATACCAATATTTATATTTTTTATTTTGCTCTTTTCCATTTGCAAATGTAGCCTCCACGAAATTTCAACTTAGCATCACTCATCCGGACTTCGGGCAGCACGGGGTGGATGATCTTTTCAAGTCGTTGGGACCCGTAGCGATATTTTCCGCCAAACGACACTGGACCGCGCCGCGATTGGTGCAGCTTCAAAGAGGGCCTGACGGCGAAGGTTTCGGATTTAGCGTACGCGGCGACGCTCCGGTGATAATAGCCCTCGTTGATCACAATTCGCTAGCTGATGTAAGATAATCTAATCGGTTTCTATTATTTAATGTATATTCATGTAAATCTTTCTTTTTATAATTATGTATTTATGCAATTATGATAACGAATAGAAACGAGAGAACTTTCTTCCTAGGTGGGCGGGATGAAGGAAGGAGACTTCATAGTTGGTATCGGTGACAAGGATGTCAAGTGGGCGTCCCACGAGCAAGTTGTGCGGATGATAAAGCAATGCGGTGACTTTATAAATTTGAAGTTAGTCACCCCAATGGACAGGAACTATCTAAAGGTGAACGATAAAGTCTATAACTGATATCATTCCAAATAAAAAAGTTGCAGCGCGATACGTTAATTAATACGATAGGAATAGTCTGAAAAAAATGTGTAGCAATGTCATTAAGATTAGATAATTGATATTAATTGGTTTTTGATAACCAATGTGTTTCTGTTTATTGTCTAGTTTCATATATTTTCTCTTTTTATTAAAAAAAAGACTACTATCATAATTGAACTATTTCTTTGACGAATGATCTAAGTCAAAGACGAAAGTAGGACGGTAAAAACTAATTATTTTAGAAACCAGGAAAACCCAACAATCACCACGATAAGGGCAGCGTCTCGGCGAGCAGCTCTTCTGGAGTTTCTTCCGGCCAGCCGAGCCCGGCGGGATCCGTCACTACGGCGCACGTAGTCAAAAGGCTTCCATGGAATCCGTTTAAAAAATCCGGCGTCCAACGTGAGAATAGAGATCTAACGTTCGATAACGTTATACTTAGATGATTGCTGGATTAGAAACGGGCCATGTTATCGTACATTATCGTAGAACGAGTTTAGAACGTGCCGCGATGAGTTGAGAGACTCACGAAATGAAATTTGCGAAAATTGAATGATATTTGGCAAAAATAATAATTTGCCATGCGGAATTTTTATACTTTAATACCGTTAAACGCGATGAATATATTTTTGTAAATATATGACATGACCTTACAGTTAATTCGTTGCGCGAGCAATGATCGAAACCTTTCGTATGCCGCTAAATGTCGGACGGAAAATTTTTCTACTCACTCAATCAGTGTTAGCAAAGATCTGTTTGGGCAGCACATTATAATAATATTTTTGCTAAACAAATTGTGCTCAGATCTTCAATGAATTTGCAATTACTTCAGCATGATTTTGATAAAATTATAACGATTAATGTTAGAAATCTTTTCCCGACATTTTTCGAGTAACAGTGCCAATGCAGGCGTATAGTGTAAGCGTTTAAAAGGATCGCCCATTATCGTGTATTTCAATGTACGATTTACGACTGACTTAAGCTATGTACGATTTTACACACTCTTTGTCATACTGTTTATGTGAATTCGTTTACAACGGTGAACTGAATTGACGAAGGGATAAACTTATTGACAAATAGTCGTATAGCGACACGAGATCTAACGAGCTCCGCGATTGTCGCGCTTTGTACTTAAGCTTTCTTGTTAAATCGTTAAGCGAATTAATATAAATCGGGTCTTTATGCGAGCGTATGCGCGCTCGTGTGCATCTGTACATTTATACATAGATATAGCATCGGTAGAGGCGTTGTACACAGCTTTTTACTTTATATATATAAATATAAAGGTATGTATATTCATAAGAAATTATATCGCATTCCATTCGGAGAAATAATTTTTATATTTTATAATAATTTTTACTTTCCCAGATGCCTGAATTTCTATTAGTATCGCATACAATTATAATACATTTTTTATTGATATGGATTATATGTTACATACATGCAAGAATTTTCGTGGAAGCAAGGTGTTGGATAAAGCCGAAACTATTAGTGGAATTTTTAATTACATTAGATTACATGCAATTTTAATGTAAATAAATAATCTTATTAGTTTACAATAAAGTTGCATGTAAAATAATCTATTCTAATGTAATCTGATCGTGTTTTATCCATATATTCTATCTTCAATCATTGTATAAATAGAAATATGAATATTGAATATTCAATCGACATTACTTTGAATAGTTTGAATATGTTTCAACAATACAATATATAATTTACTGAGGTCGTTGCACTTTCGTTTCAATGAACGTCGTTGAAGCTTTTAGGGTCGCTGGAGAAAGTGCAGCGACTGAAGCGCTCCTTGGAACGTGTTCTTAGCTGCTCAGACAACACGAAACTTTCGACGAACTTGTACGACGGCCACGTGTTTGATGACAACCATATCAAAGTGGCCAAAATTCCTACTTGAAAAGGTTTTGCATCTACACATGCATACAGATTTGCGACGCCCTTTCGAAAGCATTTGGAAATTTTCACTTAATAAAAAAAGGATAGTTTTTGAACATTTTTAATTAATAAAGAATAAGAATTGTTTTTAGTATTTAGGTAATTTTTTGATATTTTTAAAAATATTAACATTATAATTCTAATATTATTAGTATAATTTTATATTTTATGCTTTTATATTTTGTTTCATTTTGCATGTATATATTTCTTTGTATACTTGATACTTTATTACTCGTGTGTTATTTCTCTGATTCATTTTTCATTGTCTGTCATAATTCAACTGTTATGCATTAGCCGTGGTCTAAAATTAGAAGTGTTAATCTGTTTCTCCTAATTTTGTCGAAGATATAATTGCCCCATATTTTCAGCCGCTAATGATCACAGATGAAAATTTCACCGTCGTCGATGTGTGCCTGAAAATATCGCATGCCACGAATCTTTTCTCTTTATCCTATTTTTCGCACGATAGACGCAACAAATTATATCCTGTGCCGCTGAATTGATGAGCGCGCATTGACTTAAGCACTTACACATAATTGGCCTCGAAGTTTTGTATTAGTTACGGTCATGAAACAACCCCGCCGGGATTTCTACTTTCCCAGATTTTCGCCGACGTTTATACTTCGAATGTTCAGTAAATTTTAAGAATTGAAAAACCCATGGGTCTTTTCAAGAATATATCCATAATTTAATCGGTAAAATTAACCATCGGAAACACTATTTAATCGGCTTATTTGATGGTAACTTTTCTCAGCGTACGACCTGATAAACCTCTGCAATTTCTACGGTGAGCAGAAATCGCGGGAGTATTACTTATACAAGCGTGCAAACGACATTGTTAACACAGAATACACGTTTGGCTGACAGTAAAAGTTACGGGACTTGTTTCAAGTCGTAAAATTGGATGATTCACGCTGCGTCCAAGTGCAGTTTTAATGACATTAATTGCCACCGGACAATTTCCTCAGTGCACACACATCGTTGAGCGCGCGACACGGGACGGAACATCGAGGAAGACCGGCTCTTTTCGAGGGCCCTAACATCGCAGAAATGCAAAGAGGAATAGAAAGGCGTATTCCTCGATATACATAAGCGAACACCGTGACTTTCACCGACGCGACGTCAAGAAACGTTGTCGTGCCAGCGAACGATTACGCAATAATTTACGTAGCCGTGATAGCAAAGAAAGCATGCGACAGGTCCGGTTTTAACACATTCGCGGATTAATTTCGCGGAATGAAAGACGGAATTCAACATCCGATTGTCCAATTTGGTTAACAAGTGAAACGCTCATCGCTTTCTGGATATCTGTGTTTCCTTGTCGCTTCATATAGCAACAATAATTTAGCCAGTGTCGCGGCTGCAGCTGATTATGCAAAGATTTACCGTAATTTTGTTTTCATTAACATTATATGTCAATCTCACATTATGATATATCGGAATTGATAAGGCAGCAAATTTGCTTGACAAATGAAAGACACAGCAATATTTCATATAATGAATAGTGATGACGTGTTTGTTATGTAGAAAAGTGTCAAGTGTTTCTCAAAGATGTTTTGCAGTCGCAAGTCCGCAAAAATCGACTAGAGAAAGATAAAAGTTCAACACTTATTTGCAAAAAATAAAGAACGAATGATGAGAAAGAATGATACAAGGTATAAAAAGTGGTTTTGCAAAAAGAGAAACGTCGCATAAAAGTAATTCAACGTACTTGTGATCGAATGCAAGCGAATGAAATAAGGCTTCTTTATCGCCTTGAAGCATCTTAATGCCCGACTGGTTTAAAATATCAAACGCAATGAATCTACACTTGTACAAAAAGTGAATTTACATTTATATAAACGTTTAATTTTCAAGAACGCTCGCACGTTTTCAAATACATTCAGACATTTTACGTATGTCGAGTAGGAAAAGCGAATCCTACGTCTAAAGGTTAAATGACTATTTTTCTTGTATCTTTATTAATACGAAATAATTTTATTCGATCTCGAGCATACAATTTCTCTCCGAGAAATCCATTAAATAATAATTATTGCGCAGATAATTTTCATTTCTTGCCTTTCGTGATTTTTTCCCGTTAAATGATTCGCTTTTCGCGCAAACGTAGTCAATTTCGATGGCATTGTTGAAAATTGTTGCCAACGAAAAATGACCGTGATACCCATCGGAGCGCTCGGTGAACCTCATTCGAAAGAGCGGTGAAAGCAAAATGGAAGATTACGAGAAGAAAGTGAATCTCCCAGCAGCGACGTTGTTGCGAAGGCGTTCAAGAACTGGTGAGCTTCTTATACGGTGTGCTTTTTATGCCGAAGAAAGTAACGTGTTAGAGCATTATTGCGATACTCTAATTCGTATCTTTGCAATTCGATCGACTGATCGACGAAAAACTTTTGAACACTCGCAACGAAATACGTTCGCAAAATTCCATTAAAAGCTTACTCAGCGTTACACTTAATTATTATGCGTAAATCAACAATAAAAATTCGTCTCTCTCTGGCTTCGTTAAAAAAAATTTTTTACAATATACATAAAAATGAGTTTTACAGGCTCAACTGTTCTTTATGATTTTGGTGAACTTTGGATATATTGTACTTTAGACATTTTTTATAACATTTATTATATAACATATTTATATAACATATAGACATTATATAACATTTCGACTGATCTTTTTCGCAAGATTGTATCTTGATTCTACGCAATTTCTGGTTTTTGTGCTTAAAGGAGATAATTCGTTTTTTTGTGTGCTTAAACGCTCTCATTCTGACGTAGACGTTTAAACACATAATTGCGTAAAATCGAGATGCGATCTTGCAAACGAGAACAGTCGATTTGCACTTCACGTGAAATGTTATTCTTTTAACAAAGTAAAAGACTACATTTCCAATAAAGTTTCAAATATAATCATTTATATTTATTACAGCGCTCAGATCTAAATACCGGTTATTTCAATTCATTAGTTATTTATTGTTAGTCTGGTAAGTCGTTGTTTTTAAAGTCGAATT